ACTTTTAGTTTAGGTTTTTTTTTAATCTGCCTTTTTTCAATTAGTATTAACATAATGTCCTACTGGATCATTGATGCTATTGCAAAATGGCAGAGTTTCTTTTTCCAAAGACAATATTAAATTTTATATATACACCATGTCTTATCTGTTCATGTGTTGAGGGCAACAGGTGTTTTTCCATACCTTGGCTCCTAGGAGTTACTGGTGCTGAGCTCAACGTGCGTGGTGGCATGTGCCTGTAGTCCCATCTGCTCTGGAGGATGAGGCGGGAGTATGTATGGCTTGTGGGCTACATAGTGAGCTCCCATCCCACAAAAAAGTATTTCTGCAATTGTTCTTCAGCAGGAACATATTTATTTCCTTAGGTGTACATATCCAGAGATCAGTTTGCTGGACAGTTTTGTAGCTTTCCTTTTTTCTTTGTGCCAGTCCTGGGGCTTGAATTCAGGGCCTGTCCCTGAGCCTTTTTGCTCAAGGCTAGTGCTTTCCACTTGAGCCATAGCTCCACTTCTGGCTTTTTGATAATTGGAGGTAAGAGTCTCATGGATTTCCTGCCTAGGCTGGCTTTGTGATCTAATGATCACAGCCTTCTCAGTAGCTAGGATTACAGGTGTGTGGCAGTGAGGCTCAGCTGTAGCTTTACTCTTATTATGAAGAGCCTGCATATCCCCTTTTGCACAGACTGCTCACTTGTATTTCCACCAACAATATACTGAGGTGTTTCTTAAAAAATCATCTTTACTGACATTAAATACTGTTGACTTAAAACAATTATAGGTATCTTAATGTGTGAGGTGATACCTCATCATGGTTATTTGTATATCCCTGGTGACCACTGACTCAGCATCTTTTTATATACCTGTATAGCCATTTGTGTGTCCTTGTTAAATACCCTGGTCCTTTGCCTATTTTTAAGTTGGGTTAGTTGGGACTTTTGCTGTTGATTTATGTGTGTTCCTTACATATTTCGGGTGTGAACATATTACCAGAGGCATGGTTTACAAATACTCTGTCCCATTCCATTCTTTGCCTTGTCATTCATTTGATTGTTTCCTTTGCATCACTAAGGATATAGTCTAGCTTTTTCAATTTTTTTCTTGCCTCTAATTTGGGTGAAAACTTAAAAAAAATTGCCAAGAAACATTTTCTTTCAGGAGTTTTTTTTAGGATAAAAAGTGGGTCTTTACAGCCTGAGGTTTGAGTCTTTAACCTACGTAGTATGGACTCATATATGTAAGACCATGGTCCAGTTTGTTCTGTAGGATATACATTATCCAGTTTTCACTGTTACATTTATATGAGACTATACTATCTCCATTTGTGTATTGGTGCTTTAGTTGGAAGTTACTTGACTGTATATGCATGTTTATTTCTGAACTTTCTATGTCTTATTTTTATGCCAGTTCAGTACTTTTTTTTGTGTGTGTGGGTTACTGAGTATTGAGCCCAGGACCTCATACATGTACAATATTATTTGGATTATTGTAGTTTTGTAGCATAATTTGAAATCAGGAACTATAATGCCTCAAGTTTTGTTCTTTCTCAGTTCCTTTGGCTTTTCAGTCTTACTTGGTGCTAAATTAAAAAAATTAAAATTTCATGAAAACATACCATTAAAATGTTGAAAGGGATGACATGTTAAATCTGTAGATTTCTTTGGGGAATGTGGGTGTCTCAACAATATTCATTCAATCTATAAGCATAGGGTGTCCTTTTCATTTATTTGTGTCTAATTTCTTTCATCAGTGTTTTATAGTTTTTATTGTACTGGTTTCATTTCAACCTACCATAAATATTATTTCATTGTTTTTGCTATTTATTGGAAATAGAATTGCTTCTGTAAGTTCTTGTTTTTTCTTGACAGTGTATAGGGACGTTTCTGATTTTTTTTTTTTTTTTTTGTTTGTATGTGTGTGGTGGTACTGGAGGCTGAGCATCTCCAACCCCCATGCTTTATGTTTGACTTGAGCCCTTCAACTTTTGTGAATTTGTATTAGTTCAAGTAGTTATTTCATACACTCTACTGTTTTCTACATCTATGAAGACTGATTTGGATGCCTGTCTCTTGTACAGTTGTGTGGTTTGGACTTGCTGTGTTAGATTGGATAGGGGTGGCAATTGTGGGCTCTTTTTGGTCTTGTTCTTGATCTTACAGGAAATATTTTGAGCTTGTCACCATTTGTGATGATAATTTTGGGCTTGTTATATGACCCTTACTTAGTTGAGGTGCCTTTTAGAATATCTTATTTGTTAAGAATTGTTATAGGAGGTTGTTTAATATTGTCAATTTTTATGCATTTTTTGCATTGGTAATGTGATTTTTTCCCTTTGTTTTGTTAACATGATATAGCACATTTATTTGCTTATGTTCAACCATCTTTCCATCTACCAGGGATAAATGTCACTTGATCATTGTGTGTGGTTCTTTTAACAATTACTTAAATGTGAATGGACTAACTTCGGCCATCAAAAATCTACATCAAGAAATGGGATATATTTACCTGTATGCTTGCTTTACCTTAGGGCATAAGGTGTTGACTGAAAGTGAAAGGAGATAAAAGAATCAGGCAACAGCAGCAGCTCAGTGGTAGCGTACTTAGCATGTATAAGGTTTTGAATTCTATCTCCAGCAGCACAAAGAAACAACAAACACTAACTTTATTTAGTGGAAGCACAGTGCAGTTATGTAAGTATTGACAGGTTTTATTTTACTGAGGTCATCTCATTTTTCCCTTTTTTCCTTTAAATGGATCACTGTTTTCATTTAGCTTTCTTCTTGATGTCTAATATATGTTCTTTGTCACAAAGTACACTGTTTTAAACAGTAAATGTTATATAGCTCGCTGGACATGGTGGAAAAAGTCATTATAGATTCTAAATAGACAGTTAATGAGAATGCATTTACTTCTGTTGGGGGTAATACTTTGGAGAAATAATTTCAAAAACTTAGCAGTGTATATTAAAGCTGCCATTTGTGTGCTTTATGACTCTGGTAATCCTACATTTTTATGTATCAAGATCAAAGTTCACACTTTAGTTTTTTTTTTCTTGTCCTTTCCTTTCCTTTTTGTTCTTCCAATTTTATTTTAATTTTTATGTTGGACCTGGGGCTTGAACTCAAGGCTGTTACTTGAACTGTTCCTGAGCTTTTGAGTTCAAGGCTAGCGCTCTACCACTAGAGCCACAGCATCACTTCTGGCTTTTTAGTGGTTAATTGGAAATAAGAGTCTCATGTACTTTCCTGCCTGGGCTGTCTTTGAACTGTGATCCTCAGATCTCAGCCTCCTGAATAGGATTATAGGTGTGAGACACCAGTGGCCAGTCTTCTTTTGTTTTCTATTTTTTCTGCCTCTCCTCCTCCCATATTTTTTTTCCTTCTTTTCTTTTGACAAAGTTTTGCTATGTGGCTCAGATTGTCCTTGGACTCATGTTCCTCCTGCCTCAGATCCCGGAGTACTGGGATTGCAGGTATGTGCCATCACACCTGGCTCACACCAGTATTGACCTATCCCTAAATTGGAAACAAACCAAATGTGAATCAACAGAAGATTGGGTAAATAAATCAGAGGTAGATGAAAGAAATGGATGAACTTCACTGGAAAACTTTTTTCTGTGCTGTTATTTAAGCAAATGCTCCCAGCCCTCTAATTTTGAGTGAAAAAGACAGACAAAAAAACCTGCCCTTCTCTAACTCAAAGATAACCATTTGATTAGAGAATGTTTTTTCATACATTGCTGTCTCAGTAAGCTTAGGTTCTTACAAAGCATAGGTCTCCAAGGTTTTTGTGGTGAGAATTCCAGATAAAGCTTGTGGGGATTCTCTGCCCAGATTGTACCTAGTTGCCATAGAGATTTTGATTAGGTTTACCAGTCCGTTTTCCACTGTTATAACAAGGTACCTGAGGCTGGAAATCCAAGATCTCACACCCCCTTGTGTTTAGTTTCCCCCTCCCCCCATGGACTGAATCATCTCAACGTGGCAGAAAAGCAGAAAAGGAAATGGCTGTGTGAGAGGGGGACCATGGAAGGTAGTGGCCTTGCTTTAAAATATCTGGCCTGGGGCTGGGAATATGGCTTAGTGGTAGAGGCTTGCCTAGCAAGCATGAAGCACTGGGTTCGATTCCTCAGTATCACATAAACAGAAAAAGCCGGAAATGGTGCAGTGGCTCAAGTGGTAGAGCCCCTAGCCTTGAGCTGAGGGACAGTGCCCAGGCCCAGAGTTCAAGTCCATCAACCGAACCCCCCTCCCCCCCCCCCAAAAACGGCCTGTTATTGATTTACATCCTCAACTTTTAAAAAATTAAATATAAATTTTTTTTTAATGAGCCAGTGGCTCATGAATATAATTCTGGCTACTCAGGAGACAGATCTGACCATCTCAGTTTGAAATCAGACCTGGCAAACCAATCTAGGAGACTTACCTCCAATTAAACAGTAAAAAGCTAGAACAGAGGCTGAAAAGTCCTAGTGAGAGCACAGGGCCTTGGAATATAAGCCCCATTATTGATTGGCACAAAGTGAAAAAAAAAAAAAAGGTTTGATCAAACCCAGGCCCTTGCACATGGTAAGACAAATGCTCTCTAAGCAGCACCCCAGCCCCTCTGACGGGCTCCCTAGATCACTTTGATCTGCTTCAGCAAGAATCGTTTAGCACAGCTTATCTGAGCCATTCATCCTCTGCCTTAGTAATTGCCCATGCACCGATCTTTGCCCACAAATTCTTAATTACACATTGCTGTTTCTCTACTGCAAAAAGTCCCATTAAATTATTCCTAGTGTGGGCATCAGTGACAAACAGCTAACGTGGTTAGGTGGGGGTTTGAGTCAGGGCCGGCGCTTGACAGCCTGGCAAAGCGTCCCGGAGCCAGGCTCCCACAAACCTGTTTCTCTGGTTTATAGCAAAGTCTCGCGCGAACCTGGCCGTTGGGCCCGGGAGAGAGGTGACGTCACAACCGCGCCGCAAGTCGGCGCCGTTCGCGCGCCGCCATGTTAGTTTTGCCCTGGGTGTGGGGGGGCGCGGCGGGCCCGTGGGAGGCGTCCGCTGTCAGCTCGGACCTGAAGACTCCCCCTTCGGGGTCCGCGGAAAGTCGGTTGTCGCCTCTTCAGAATTCTCCACTGCCGTCGTGACCCCCCGCCAGCCCGGGAAGGAGGAACATCTTCCCTGACTGCAGCTCCGCGGACTCCGGCGGGGCTGCGTCCTTCCACCCGGGCGCCCGGCGCTGCCCACGGAGCTCGGCGCAGAGGTCGTCCGGAGCCCTTGATCCTCCTGACCTCGCCAATAATCGTTTCTCCACCAAGTCGGGTCCAACTTGTGCGTCCGGTAATAATTATTGTTGTTGAAAGGATCCATCGCATCCATCCCAGGAGACCACGCAGAGGCAGGCAGGCAGGCCCAGGAGAAAGATTATTACAAGGTTTATTAGAGGAGCCATGCTTCCCCCAGATAGGGAGCACATGGCCGCCTCCACTATCTAGGTAGCAGCAGGGTCTGGGGGTCGGAAGTAAGGTAGGTGGGAGCTCAGGTGGGTCTGAGTGGAGAGAGGGAGGGGCCAGCTGTCTGGCAGGAACTCCAGGGCTGGGAGGAGCTCAGGGCTGGGTAGAGCTGAGGACCAAAGGTGTGTACAGTGCTTACAGTTGACATTATTATTTTGTGCTAGCCCTGGGACTTGAACTCAGGGCCTGAGTGCTGTCCCTTAGCGTTTTTGCCCAAGGATGGCTCTCTACCACTTGAGCCCTAACCCCACTTGCTGGGCATTGGAGATTAGTGTCCCACAGACTTTTCCTGCCCAGGCTGACTTCGAACTTTTTATCCTCAGATCTCAGCCTACTGAGTAGCTAGGATTACAGGTGTGAGCCACCGGCGCCCGACTTAATATATATAATATATATACGTGTATATTATATATATAGGCACAGTCACATATACTTTATATGTAAAGGCTCCTAGTGGAACTACTTGTGTTACCCAGTGGTCATTTCTAGGGGCTTTCACATACATCTTACGGAGATGGAGGTAATTCTGGTGTTGAGGATTGGTACTAGTGCTTCTTATCGAATGGTAAATCTTTTGCAGGAATGCAAATGACCTTACAAAGAGGAGCAGCTTGCCACTGCCCTCCTGGATTCATAGGCGGCCTGGTGGTCCTTGGAGTCACAGAAGAGAGCATCAAGGTGCATTTCTGCATCAGCCTTCCAGCATGGAAACCCTCCTTGTGTCCCCTGGTAAGTGCTATCCTTCCCACACAGAAGGGATGCTAGTGGTCTGAGCTGAGCAGCCTCTGGGCCCGGGTGCTGTCTCTCAGCGCTTTAGCTCAAGGCCAGCGCTCTGCCACATGAGCCACAGTGCCACTTCCAGTTTTCTGGTGGTTTATTGGAGATAAGAGTTTCAGTGATTTTCTTGCCCAGGCTGGCTTTGAACCTCGGCACTCAGATCTTAGCCTCCTGAATAGCTAGGATAACAGGCGTGAGCTGCCAGCGCCTGCCCCCCTCCCCCTTTTTTTTTAAAAATCACAGTGGGCAAATAAAGTCATACTTCTCGGGGTTTTTACTTCTCATTTCATCTGTACAAGAGATGCTTATACTCCACCTATGTAGCAAAGCTTTCCAAGGCTTCTCTGCCTATGGACAAGGCTGACTGCTTAGGGATAGGGGCAGTAGTGTGTATGTGTTTTCCTGAGTGTGCTGGATTATACCATGGTTTCCAGCTAGGCTGTAATAATAGCCATGCATATGAATGTGAGGATTATGTTTTAGCTTTGGGGCTTCTTGCCACCTTCTTTTTTTCCTCCATCCTAGGTCTGTTTTCTAGAAGTCCAGTCTCCTTTCATGAAGAGGCCAAAAGGGCAGTGGCTAACCAGCTGACAAATTGTTATCAGGTAGGAATGAATGAATGAATGAATGCTATCCGCCAGAATGGCATGTTTGCATCTACCAGGAAGTCACATTTCCACCTAGGCTGACTTGTCTCTAGGGCTTCTGGAAGGAAACAAAGGCATACTTCAGATCTGAGTTCTCAGGTGTATTTCCCCAGCTAGTGGACCCTCTTGTATTGGTGGAGCCTTACTTTGAAAATCATCCCAGCATTTCAGTAATTCCTCATGAATCTTCATTCCCACAGCGCAGTCTCTACATCTCTGATTTTCTGGCTGTTCTGACAGGTGATAAGGTGGATGAATGTTTCCCTTTTTTTTTGGGAAGCCTTCATTCCCTCACCGCCCTTATCAAGTATATTTACATAGAGAGACACATAAAAGGAGGAAGAGTGTCTGGTCATGGGTGTTCATTGTTTTTGTTGTTCATTAGAAGAGTGGAGAAGATGAAGCAATGAATGTAGGTACCAAATTATCCTGAGGGCCAGTGAACCCTATGGTGGAGAGTGGGAGGACTCTCCGCTCTCTCTAGGGATTGAGATCCTTGTGTTCATTCTGTAATGAACTTTTTGTGTGTGGGGGTATGACAGTTCTGGGCTTGACCTCAGGGCCTTGGTGCTGTCCTTGAACGTTTTTGCTTAAGGCTAGCATCTACCACTTCAGATCTCAGTCTCCTGAGTATCTAGGCTGTCTAATGAACTTTGATGGAGTTGTTACTTGGCTTAAACCAGTTGTGTGTGTGTGTGTGTGTGTGTGTGTGTGTGATGGTTTAGGACCTGGTAACCTTTGAGGATGTGGCTGTGGACTTCACCAAGGACGAGTGGATGCTCCTGGACTCAACTCAGAGAAGGCTGTACTGGGAAGTGATGCTGGAAAACTATGGGCACCTGGCCACAGTAGGTAAGGCTGCCAGCATTCCTGTAGCCTCTTAGGAAACAAAAGTATATCACCAGCCAGGTGCTGGTGGCTCACGCCTGTAATCCTAGCTACTCAGGAGGCTGAGATCTGAGGATCATGGTTCAAAGCCAGCCTAAGCAGGAAAGTCTGCAAGACCATTATCCCCAATAAACCACTAGAAAACTGGAAGTGGTGCTGTGGCTCAAGTGATGGAGCACTAGCTTTGAGCTGAAGAGCTGAGAGACAGCACCCAAGCCCCACGACTAATTAAAAAACGAACACACACACACACACACACACACACACACACACACACACACACACACACACACACACACACACACCCCACACACACACCCTTACCTATTTACTGTGTTATTGGACTGGTGGGGTCAGCTCTGAGGACAGTGGAAAATGTGAGGCCTAGACTCTACCCAAGCTCGTGGTTCTCATGGTATGGTCTTGGGGTTAACTGTATCCCTCTTAGTCTCTCAAAATGGTACCTCTCCTCTTATGACATACTGAATCAGAAAATCTTCAGTTGGGCCCTATCTGTGTCTTTTTCTTGTTTTTAATTTTTTTTTTTTTTTTTTTTTTTTTTTTTGTCGGTCGTGGAGCTTGAACAATGGGCTTGGGTGCTGCTCATGTGCTCTTCAGCTCAAGGTGAGCACTCTGCCACTTGAGCCACAGCACCACTTCCGGTTTTCTAGTGGTTTATTGGAGATAGGAGTCTCATGGAGTTTCATGCCCAGGCTGGCTTTGAACCGCGATCCTCAGATTTCAGTCTCCTGAGTATCTAGGATTACAGGCGTGAGTCACCAGCGCCCGGCTATTGTTTTTAGTTTTTTTTAATGCTGCTACTGGGGCTTGAATTCAGAGCCTCAAGCTCTTGTTTGGCCTTCCTTTCATGGCTGGTGCTCTATCATTTGAGCTATACCTTCACTTCTGTTTTTTTCCTGGTTAATTGGAGATAAGAAATTTTAGTTTTGTCTGCCCTAGTTGGCTTTGAACTATGATCTCAGCTTATTGAGTTGCTAGGATTATAGATATGAGCCATAGGTGCCTGGCTTCATCTGTGTTTTAATAATCCTTACACTTGAATCCACTGGGCCTACAGTATTTAATGATTACCAAAGCAGAGTGATCATGAGTTTTAGTCCAGCCTGTGCTACATAGTGAGAGTGTATATGAAAAAAACAAAAACTAAAAGACAAATAATTAAAAGAGAAAGAACCATAATACTTTGTGAATGTCTACATAACTATCACATTGGTATTGGAGATCAGAAGTCAGTGCCTTTACACATATATGAAGGGACATTTCTTTTTTTCTGTGCAAGTGTGCTGGTCCTGGGGCTTGAAACTGTCCTTGAGCTTTTTTGCTCAAGGCTAACACTCTCAACCTGAGCCACAGCAAGGATGACAGTCAGCTACTGATTCTCCACTGAAGGGATATTTCGTATTGAGGACTTAAGTAGTCACTTTACGGCTGTCATTAGAAGTGTAATTTCCAAGCCAGGTGCCAGTGGCTCAAGCCTGTGATCCTAGCTACTCGGGAGGCTGAGATCTGGGGATCACGGTTCAAAGCCAGCCTGGTTAGGAAAGTCTGTGAGACTCTTATCTCTAATAAACGACCAGAAAACAGGAAGTGGTGCTGTGGCCCAAGTGGTAGAGCATTAGCCTTGAGCTGAAGAGCTGAGGGACAGCATCCAGGCCCAGAGTTCAAGCCCCAGGACTGAAAAAAAAAGTGTAGTTTCCCAAATTGAAAACGAATGAATGAAAAAAGGAACAATAAAGAGATAATCATTTCTGAATCATGGGAGTTTGTCATGTCCTGTGTGAGCTACTTCCATGACTGTATCTTTCTAATATTCAGGATATCAGCTTGTCAAGCCCAGCCTGATCTCCTGTTTAGAGGCAGAGGAGTTAAGGACAGCAGAGAGAAGTGTTCTCCAAGGTAAGTGTTTGTGAAAGGCATCTGCAGTCAATGTGAAGTTAAGAACCTTTGGAGCATGAGGAATTAAAAAATCTAAAATACATATATGTACATACAGTTCACACACATGCATGTTTACACGTATGTGTGTATATATATTATACTGTATACCTTGGATGTGTGTATAGTATAGTGGAGTGCATATGTATGTGTATACATATGTATGCACATATGTGTGTAATATGTATTTTGTGATTCTGAGAATAGGGTGTGAGCATGCCAGGCATGTGTTCTATGCTGAGGGAATATAGCCTTTGAGTTAGCTGGAGCTGTTGGACTCAGAAGTTTGGGCATGTCATCAACACTAACACTGTAGTACTTTTGCAACTGTCCAGAATTTTCTTAGTCTCAACCAGGCTTCACTTTTGAGTTAATAGTTCATATATATGTTCTTTTTCCTAATAATTTTCTAATTATTTTTCCCTGTTTCTTTTACCTAATAGTTTCTGATCACTATGACGTTTGATTTCAGAAAATACAAGGCATCATTTAGATTTCTAGATTTTGATTGTGTTCTTATGATTGTGACATTATTATTATTATTCTAGAGATTGAACTCAGGGCTTTGGACATGCTCACACAGGGCTACCTCCCCAGTCCCTAAAATTTGAAGCAATAACTAGACTACTCAAAAGCTATCATCATTTTATTTTTGTAATTTTGTAATTTATTGTGTTGAATAGGAAAACAAGTACAAATGAGTTCTATCATTCCTAACTTTTCTCATCTCTTTCCTCTGTAAGCAACTGTATATTTCTCTGTTTCCACTTCAGAATGGGCAATGAGACTTAACACCAAAGAGACAGCAGTTCAGCGGGATACTTTTTGGTTAAAAATGTTAGCAGAGATACAGCTGGTAAGACAAGGCTTGTTTCTTGTTTTCCAAATTCAGGGGGGCTTGGGTCTTCCATGATATCAGTGCAAGAGAGAGAAAGAGAGACTGGAGAGTGTGGGAATGGGGTCTCTGGAGAGATGCCCCAAATCTGCAGGGGAATTGAGTTCTTCAAGGACATGTTCCCACCTTAAAACTAGATAATGAGTTTTGTGGAGTCCCTCCCTCCCTCCCTCCCTCCCTCCCTCCCTCCCTCCCTCCCTCCCTCCCTTCCATACATTAATGGTATAAGGGGGTTTCATTGTGACATTTCTATGCATGTGTCTGATGAACCCTGAACAACCCCTCCCCCTCCCATTAATCTCCCTCATTCTTTTCTCCCTTCTTAAAACAATTTCAGGCTGGGAATGTGGCTTAGTGGTAGAGTGCTTATCTAGCATGCATGAAGCCCTGAGTTCAATTCCTCAGTATCATATAAACAGCAAAGCCGAAAGTGGTGGTAGAGTGCTAGCCTTGAGCAAAAGAAGCTCGGGGACAGTGCTCAGGCACTGAGTTCAGGCCCCAGGACTGGCAAAAAAAAATAGGGCATGCTTGAATTATGACCTGTAAAGAGCGAGACAATCCATCAAGCTACAGTTAAAGATAACATTTATTTACACGATTTACACCAGAAAGGGGGCCCTTGACTACCTTGTTCTCGGCTAGATACTCAGAACCAAGAGCAGCCTCAACCACCAAACTTCCACGCCTCCAATGGGCAGCCTGACCTTTATTAGTTGGTCTGCAAAACACCAATTAGTCGGTCTGTAAACCTCAGACCTCCAAAGGGGAAGGCTTTTGCCTTTCCTCCCTTCTTCCTTGTCTGCAGGCCTCTCCACTTTCCACAGGCCTGCCCTGCTCTGCTCTGGGAGGTGCCTCTCACAGAGAGGTGGTTATACCTTCCTCTTTAGAGGAAGGCCCCAAATGATTTCTGGAGGAGGCCCTGAATGACCTCTCCAGGTTGACCTCTACTGGCCTGCCCTACTCTGCTCCTACAGGCTTTCCCCTCCTGCTGTCTCACCTCCCCCTACCTCCCTTTCACTCCACTCTACTCTACTCCCCCTGTACTCTCTACTCCACTCCTCTCCAATGAGACTACTTCCCCATTGCTTGGAACATGTAGCCTATATATAGGCTGTGCCCTTCCCCCACTAATAGTTTCCAACTGCCATTCATGCTCTCTCCCAAGCTACCTACTGTCCAATCACTTCCAATAGGCAGCTCATGTGGGGCATGACACCTCACCCCCTCCAGCAGCATGCCCACCCCCTTTCGCCCTGTGGGTCAATGACGTCAGCCTCTTGATGGCCCACCCCCTCCAGCAGGCCGGGCCAACCCCGGGCCATGCTGATTATCACACTTGAAGGACCCACAAGAAATTCTGGAGTAGAATGAGTGAGTACCATTATCATCACCATCATCACGTTTTACTCACTGTTCATTTTTCATGGACAGGCCCATAGCCAGGACAGAAAGGAGCTCTGTGACTTGAAGCCTCATGAGGAACTCATCAGAGAACACTTGGGTCCCCTGATGCATGGGAGTCCTCAAAATGGAGGGGCCACTGATGACTGCAGCCAGTGTGGACAAGACTTTCCTACTCTGCATCAGGAAATGGGTGCACACCAACTCCCGGCATTCAGTCCATGTGGAAAAGACTCGAGTCTGACTTCGGGTGATGCTTACCAGGCACCAAGTGTGCAAGCCAGATCCCTCGGATGTGGTGCCTTTGGGCCTGCCTTGGTTGGCTGGTTATACCTTCAGCCACCTGGGAGAGCTGGTAGTGACGATGGGGCCTTCCAGTGGGGAGAGCAGCCTGGGGCCTTGGCCCCGCCCATGAGCCACACTACGAGTGCTCAGGCACACCCCGGGAAGCAACGCTACGAATGTAAGGAGTGCGGGAAAAGTTTTAAGTATGCTGCCAACCTTAATATCCACATGCGAATCCACACAGGGGAGAAGCCCTACCAGTGTAAGGAATGTGGGAAGGCATTTTCTCGGTGCTACCCACTAACTCAGCACTTAAAAACCCACACTGAAGAGAAGCCCTTTGAATGTCAAGTTTGTGGGAAGTGCTTTCGGAGTTCCTCCTGCCTCAACGATCACTTCCGCGTTCACACCGGATCAAAACCCTACAAATGTAAGGACTGCGGCAAAGCCTTCACAGGGCGCTCTGGCCTGAGCAAACACCTGCCTACCCACACCGGAGAGAAGCCTTACGAGTGCAAGGAGTGCGGGAAGGCCTTCACCTCCACCTCGGGCCTCATCAAACACATGAAAAGTCACACAGGAGAGCGGCCCTTTGAATGCGACCACTGCGGGAAGGCCTTTGCTTCCTCCTCCACCCTCATCACCCACCTGCGGACTCACACGGGAGAGAAGCCTTTTGAGTGCAAGGTGTGTGGGAAAGCCTTCACGTGTTCCTCCTACCTGCGTATCCACATGCGCACACACACCGGCGAGAAGCCCTACTCGTGCAAGGAGTGTGGCAAGGCCTTCACGGAGCGCACGAGTCTCACGAAGCACTTGCGCACTCACACGGGAGAGAACCCCTTCGAGTGCCATGTGTGCGGGAAAGCGTTTGCATGTACCTCCTACCTCCACAACCACATCCGGACTCACACTGGGGAGAAACCTTACGTGTGTAAGGAATGCGGGAAAGCCTTCACGGTCTCCTCACACCTGAGTAAGCACGTGAGAATTCATACCGGGGAAAAGCCTCATAAATGTGAGCAGTGTGGGAAAGCCTTCACAGTGCGCTCAGGCCTCACAAAACACACACGAACCCACACGGGAGAGAAGCCCTACATGTGTCAGGAGTGTGGGAAGGCCTTTACCACCTCCTCCGGTCTCATGGAACACATAAGAAGTCACACGGGAGAGAAGCCCTACGAGTGTGACCAGTGTGGGAAGGCCTTTGCGTCATCATCCTATCTGATCGCCCATCTGAGGATCCACACGGGAGAGAAGCCCTTTGAGTGTAGCACGTGTGGGAAAGCCTTCACATGCTCTCCCTACCTGCATATCCACATGCGCACGCACACGGGGGAGAAGCCCTATGCGTGCAAGGACTGTGGCAGGGCCTTCGCTGTTTACTCTCACCTCAATAAACATGTGCGGACTCACAGTACAGAGAGATGTCAGCCAGGTGAGGATTTGGGGCCAGCTCGGGGTGCTGCTTCCCCTCTGGCAGGATGCGTAACCACGCTGGAGGGGAGCCCTTTGGGTGGAAAGAATGAGGACACGGCTTTAGGAAGTCCTTTTGCCCTGACAATGCATTCTGATTCACAGTGGCCAGAGAGCTTGTCAGTGTAAGCCATTCTGCAGTATCCTCAGGCCCCCATCACTGCAGGGTCCCCAGGAGAACCTGTTCTCTGCCTGTCCCAGGACCTGGAGGAGTGTGGAAAAGCTGAGTCTGTTCAAGTCCATGTGACAAGCACACATCTTTCAGCTGTGCCATGTCAGGAATGGAAAGCCCTACCTGTTTCTTGGGAGCTGAAGAAACACATGATACCTTCCATTGAAGAGAAAGCTACTGATAGAGAATGGCCAAGGTGTAGTTCTGCATAGTTCTTTGATGGTTGACTGAGAAAGTCCTTAGGAAAGGATGAAATGTGGGGAAGTCACTATTTTATTTTCCAGTCTTAACATCATTCCTTAATAAATAGGCAAGGATTCTCACTGAGAGAAAGTGAAAGAAATCCTGAGTCCTTTAAGCTGACAGAGACATGGCTTCACTGATGGCTTTATAAATGTATTTTGATTACCTGCACTTTCAATATTTGAAATGTTTTGAAAATATGTATTTGTGACCAGTTTGAAAATGTAATTTCTTATTCTCTTTAGCTTTTCTTTCATCTTTACCAAGGTGTGACTGAAAACTAAAATTATAGAGGGTACAATCTGATGTGGTATATATTACTAGTCAGGATAATTATCCATGATAATTGAACTGAAATGATTTAGGGTATACTATCTGATGTAGAATGAATTGTCCACACACACACACACCATCCTGAAATGATTACTACAGTCAGGATAATTGAAGTATCTTATATGTGATATGGTGGCCCATTAGTTTTGGGGTTGTGAAATACTTTCCACTGTTTTAGCAGATTCAGATATACAGGATGTTGTTATTGACTGACCTCATCCTACCCACCCCAACACACACACACAATTTTTTCTTTTTGGCCAGTTCTGGGGCTTGAACTCAGGGCCTGGGCATTGTCCCTGAGTTTCTTTTTCTCAAGGCTAGCACTAACACTTGAGCCACAGCATCACTTCAAGGTTTTTCTGTGTATGTGGCACTGAGGAATTGAACCCAGGGCTTCATACATGCTAGGCAAACACTGTACCACTAAACCACATTCCCAGCCCCCCCAATTATATCTTTCATTTGGTGAGATTGACTTTTATTTTTTGCCAGTACTGGGGCTTTGAACTCAGAGTCTAGGTACTGTCTCTTATCTTTTTCACTCATGGCTAGCACTCTACCACTTGAGCCACAGCCTCACTTCTGGTCTTTTTTTTGGGGGAGTGATTCATTGAATAGTCTCACAGACTTTCCTACCCAGACTGGCTTTGAGCCACTATCCTCAGATCTCTGCCTCCTGAGTACCTAGAGTTACAGGTGTGAACCACTGGTGCCTGGCTAAGGTTTGTCTTTTAAATTCCAGATTTAAGAACAATCATGTAGCATGGTATTTTTGGTTGTGTCTGGCTTGTTTCACCTAGCATGATGTCCTCTGGGTTCATCTCTGGTGTTCCCAATGGCAGAATTTCCATCTCTTTTAAGGATAAGTATTATATAATTCATGTATATGATGTAACCCATAATTATATGTATGGTTTACCAATATTTTTTTCCATTCCACATGTTGCCCTTTTCATGTATGTGTGTTTTCATGTTTTTTTTTTTTGGGTCCGGTCGTGGGGTCTGAACTCTGGGCCTGGGCGCTGTCCCTCAGCTCTTCTGCTCAAGGCTAGTGCTCTACCACTTGAGCCACAGCGCCACTTCCGGCTTTTTTCTTTTTGCTTATGTGGTGCTGAGGAATCGAACCCAGGGCCTCATGCATGCAAGGCAAGCGCTCTATCACTGAGCCACCTTCCCAGCCCTTTTTGTTGTATTTTTGTCAGTTGTGGGGCTTGAACTCAGCCTGGGAACTGTCCCTGAGCTCTTTTTTCTCAAGGCTAGCACTTCACCACTTGGAGCCGTGGCACCACTTTTGGATTTTGAGTGGTTAATTGGAATAGTCTCACCGGGACTTTCCTGCTTTGAAGCACGATCCTCAGATCTCAGCTTTCTTACCTAGGATTACAGGTATGAGCCACTGGTGCCTGGCTACCAGTTTGTTTTCCTATGTGATTCTTTTTGCTTCTGTTGACTCTCCTTTAGGTAAACTCCAAAAAAATGGCAAAGGCCTGTGTCATGATACTTTCCCTGTGTTCTCTAACCATTTATGATCTTATTGCCTCATGGAGATAGTGGTCCAATTCTAGTTTTGTCATTACCATTTATTAACAAGGGATCTTCTCTGTACTTGGATGTTTGTCAAAAATGGTTGTTGGTGAGCTTTCTGTTTTATGTTATTGATCTACTACCTGGATTCCAGTACATCACTGTTACAGTTATTGTAGCTTTGGGATATTATTTGAATTTGGAAAATTTGATGCTTTCATGTAGATAGATCTTGCTCAAGACCTGTTTTCTTTTGCTTTTTGCAGCCTCATGGTTTTGTTTGAATTTTAGGATTAAAAAACTATCTTTGGAATGGAAAGGATGCCATTAGATATAACCCTAAATCAATTTGGGGAGTAGGGTCATTTTTATAATATTAATCATTCCAATCCACAAACATAGGATACCTTTTTTTTTCTTCCTTTTTTGGGTCATGGTCTTTAACTCTGGGCCTGGCACTGTCCTTAAACTCTTCAGCTCAAGATGAGTGCCCTACCACTTGTGCCACAGCGCCACTTTTGGATTTCTGGTGGTTAATTAGAGATAAGAATCTCGGCGCTGGGAAGGTAGCTCAGTGGTAGAGCGCTTGCCTTGCATGCCTGAGGCCCTGGGTTCAATTCCTCAGCACCACATAAGCAAAAAGAAAAAAGCCGGAAGTGGCGCTGTGGCTCAAGTGGTAGAGCGCTAGCCTTGAGCTGAAGAGCTGAGGGACAGTGCCCGGGCCCAGAGTTCAGGCCCCACGACCGGACCCAAAAAAAAAAAAAAAAAGAATCTCATGGACTTTCCTGCCCAGGCTGGCTTTGAATTGTGATCCTCAGATCTCAGCCTCCTGAGTAGCTAGGATTACAGGCATGAACTACCAGTGCCTGGCTTATCTTTCTGTTTTGTATCTTTTTCTTCATCAATGTTTAGTTGGTCCTAGTCTATATATTTATAAATATATATTTATAAGTTAATAGCTAAAATGTGTACATATATTAAATTGGTGACACATACCTTTTAATATTTTTGAATTAGCATGCATTTCATACATGTATGCTATAGTATACTTTGGATACATTCATCATGTTACCATTCCTCCCTTATCTCCTCCCTTCCTCCTTTTTCAAACCTTGTCTGGTGGGTTACATTATGCTGCCTATTCCATGTTTATATATGTGTGTATAACATCTTTTGATCCTCTTTACCTCTCCACCAGTTGGCATTTTGGCTGAATTTGAACCTTTTCAACAAAATGCATGATCAAGACAGCTGTCAAAGATACGCAGAAGCTAGAATTGGAACATCTGTAGGTGGAGACCCCTTCTCCTACCTCCTCCGCCCCAGTTAAACAGAAAAAAAGGAAAATTATGAAATGTCTACTTAATAGAATTGTTTTGTATAAAGGCAGGCAATAATTTGCCAAACATGGCCCCTCACGCCTCAAGTCTTAGCTGCTTGGGAGTGGAGGCAGGGTGATTGTGAATTTTTTTGGGGGGGGGAGGGTCAGTCGTGGGGCCTGAATTCTGGGCCTGGGCATTGGCCCTCAGCTCTTCAGCTCAAGGCTAACGTTCTACCACTTGAGCCACAATGCCACTTCTAGCTTTTTTCTGCTTATGTGCATAAGGTCTAATCCTGGATGATGAGCAGACTCCATCCTCCTCGCAGCAAAGTCTCCACCCAGTACCTGTGTTACCTAGGTAACTGGCACACATGGAAGAGGTCACATCTGCATCCGCTGAGGTCACAGCTGAATTTGATGTGGCCACACCTTTCTCCACCCGTACCCTAGATAAGGCCTAGCCCAGGCCTAGACGTTCTTTCTCAGCTCTTTCCTTCTCAGCTCTTTCCCAGCTCTCTTAGCTCTTTTTCCCAGCTCTCTCTTTCCCTGCTCTCTTTCCCAGCTTTCTCTCTTTCCCACCTCTTTTCCCAGTTTTCTCTTTCTCAGGTCTTTCCCAGCCGCATGGAGTGCCAACCTGGCCTGGTCCCAGCAGGTCTACTGAATAAACCTATCCCTTACCTGAATACCATGTGGGTGGTGCTGTTCTTACTCAGCTACCTCTTTTTAAAAACCTAACAATGTGGTGCTGAGGAATGGAGCTCAGGACCTCAATGAATGCAAGGCAAGCACTCTACCACAGAGCCACCTTCCCAGCCCCAGCGATTGTAAATTTGAGGACAGGCCAGTCCAGTCAAAATTAGCAAGACCGTATTTCATAAAGTAAAAGCAGGAAGTGCAGCTATGGCTCAAGTGGTAAAGCACTAGCCTTGAGCACAACAGCTTAATAACAGGCAGGCCCTGAGTTCCAATTCCAGCATTACCACACACACACACAAACCCAAACTCCAAAACAGAACAGGCTACCCAATATGTTGGAGTCTGGCATTGGTGGCTCACACTTGTTATCCTAGCTGCTCAGGAGGCTGAGATTAGGATTGCAGTTAGAAGCCAGCCTGGGCAGAAAAGTCCCCATGAGACTTAACTCCAATAAACTAATAAGACATAAGTAGTGCTGTGGCTCAAGTGGTAGAGTGCTAGCTTTGAGCACAAAGAGGCTCAGGGACAGTGCTCAGGCCTTGAGTTCATGCCCCAGTACTGGCAAAAAACCAAAGAAAAGTAAAAAGGGCAGGGGTATAGGTCTGCTGCAAGTGGTAGGATGCTTGCCTAGCAAGCATGAAGTCCTGGGTTCAATCCCCGCTTATATACATACAAAGATATTTTACATGTCTATACACATGTAGCTTTCTAATTTTGGCTCAAAATCAGTGTATTAAGACAACATGGTTATTGTCACCTAGTTTCTGTTGGACAGACGTACAGGTATTGCTTATTCTGATTTCTGCAACGTGCAGTGCTTTGAATGCAGGGAAGCTCTGGCTGGCTACTCCTGAACAGAGAAAAATCTAGGTGCCAGGACAGGTGAGCCCACGGGAGCTGAGGGGTGAAGACATGGAAGGGGACAGTATTCCTGCCACCCTTGTATAGATTTTATGGGCGGATCCCTGCCCACAAATTTCGAATTGCTCATTACTGTATCTCTCGCCTCTACTGCAAAAATCCCTTAACAAGGGCAGCGTTACAAAAAAATCTCGAACACGGTTTAACCAATGCCATCTACCCGAGTTCCCGCGCTCGACAGTCCGGCTGGTCAGCCCGGCCTCTCTCTCACGGGGCGGTTGGTGGGGAGCGGAAGTGATGTCAGTATACGCGACGGGCACTTCCGACGTCGGCTGCGCACCGCCATGTTGGTTTTGCCCTTAGTTGGGGGAGGGCGACCGCTGAGAGTTGGGGGCGGGTCCTGAGGGCGCCCCCTCGGGGCTCCGACGGGGAGGTCGCGCGGAGCGCTTCCTCCTCGCCCGTAGTCGTTTCTCCAGGAAGTCGCGTTCTCTTTGCGCGTCTAGTTATAATTATTATGTTGTGCAGACCCTGGAGCCTGAACTCAGGGCCTGGGCGCTGTCCCCCGCCTTTTTTTTCACTCAAGGCTGGTGCGCTACCATTTGAACCATAGTTCTGCTTCTGCCTTTTTGATGGTTAATTCGAGATAAGAGTCCCACCGACTTTCTTACCCAGCCTAGCTTTGATCCTTGATCCACAGCTTCCTGAGTAGCTAGGATGACAGGCGTGAGCCACTGGCACCCAGCTGTCTCATTGACTTAACTGGGTGACATTGAACCAATGACTAATGTTCTTTGAATCATTTTT